ATCCTCTTTGTGAATACTTTATTTAAAATTTTTGCATCTATATGCATTAGGGAAATTGGTCTATAATTTTCTTTCTCTGTTTTGACTCTTCCTGGTTTAGGTATCAGCACCATATTTGTATCATTAAAAAAGAATTTGGTAGGATTCCTTCTTCTCCTATTTTCCCAAATAGTTTATATAGTATTGGAATTAGTTGTTTTTTAAATTTTGGTAGAATTCACTTGTAAATCTATCTGGCCCTGGAGATTTTTTCTTAGGGAGTTCATTGATAACTTGTTCAATTTCTTTTTCTGAAAAGGGGTTAAGTATTTTATTTCCTCTTCTGTTAATCTGGGCAGTCTATATTTTTGTAAATATTCATTCCCTTCACTAAGATTGTCAAATTTATTGGCATACAGTTGTGCAAAATAGCCCAACTGTTTTAATTAATTAAACTAATTAAATTAATTAATTAAACATTAATTTAGTTAATGTTTTAATTTCTTCTTCATGTGTGGTGAATTCACTCTTTTCATTTTTGATGTTGGTAATTTGGTTTTCCTCTTTCTTTTTTTAAATCAAATTAACCAAAGGTTTATCTATTTTATTGTTTTTTTCATAAAATTAGCTCTTGGTTTTATTTATTAATTCAATAATTTTCTTACTTTCTATTACTCTTACCTTTGATTTTTTGGAATTTCTAATTAGGTATTTAATTGGGGATTTTTAATTTGTTCTTTCTCCAGCTTTTTTAGTTGCATCCCCAATTCATTGACCTCCTCTTTCTCTATGTTGTTCATGTAAGCATTTAGAGATATAAAATTTCCCCTAAGAACTGCTTTGGCTGCATCCCATGAGTTTCCAATACAGCCTTTAGTGAAGTGCCCCAGGATTTCTGCTTGCAACATGTGTTAGTGTCTTGAATGATTTACAGAAGAATCCAGGTAGGAAAAAAAAAAGGCAATGACATATAATGGCCTACAATGGTGTCTGTGATAAAGGCTGTCAGTGTACACGCTGACAAAATTCCTTCTCCTCTCCCTTAGTGGTGGCCTGGCTTTCTTCAAACTCATTCAAAAGTCAAGTAATAGGCTTACTTTCAAACATTCTTCTCTCCAAATCACTCCTGACAACAGTTTGAAAATGAAATTAAGCTGGATTCTTATTAACTGTCATCTCCAGAGGACATGGTATGGAAGGAAGGGAAGAGAGAAAGAAGGAAGAAAGGAAGAAAAGAAGGAAGGAAGGAGAAAAGTTAGGTAGGAATTACCAAGCACCTACTTGATAGATGCCAGTGCCTGGCCAAGCCCTCTTCAGTAATATCTCATTTGAGCCTCAAAACAACCTTTTGAGTTAGGTGCTCCCATTACCCCATTTCAGAGTTGAGCAAACTGAGGTAGACAGCAGTTAAGAGACTAACGCTGGGTCAATAGCTATGAAGCATCCAAGACCCTGAAGAGGGTCATCAGCACTCTGTTCACTCCCACCATTCTCCGGATCACTTGAAACTGTCATGGCAGCACCTGTGGCCAACACGGAGCCTGAGGGTGAGACTTCCTTATCTCCAGGTTGGTTTGATTCCTTCTCTTTCTGTAATTCTCCTTCTTTCTCTTCCATTTCCACAGCCTTTTCACTTCTTTCCAGAGTTTGTCTTTTGGAATTCTGAAACATCTGTGCTCGGTTGAGAAAGTGAAGGTTAGCACTGTGCATTGCTTTGGAAGTTGGGCTTTGAAAAGAATGAAGAAAAAAATAGATTATCATTAGAGAATAGAGTCGTGTGTTCTCAACTATGAACAAAATTACATGGAAAATATTATGAGGAAAAGAAAAAAACATTACTTTTGAAGCATTTACCAGTCCTTTTATAACTCTGTATTTGATTCATAATCTCATTCCCCATAGCAGCTAGCCTAACCATTTCCATCCCTCCCCTCTAGCCTATCTTAGGATGCCCTCTCCCTATTTCTTCAACTCAAGAAGCCATCCTTTACAAATTTTCATGGAGGCTAGCTCAGGAGCTCCCCCCATATATTGGGTGTGAATATCCTTTCCAGGTAGCCCAGATACTCCACACCTCATTAGTAGGGGATTCTGAGAGCCACACTTCTCCCCTTGAATGGCCCTCTTCTCCTGTCATCGTTCTGTTCACCTCTTGGCACACTAACTACCAGGCTGTAGGTGTTTGATGCTAAACAGCTGTGAGAGAGTGAGGCTATTGCAGGCAGGAAATGGCCTACTTTGACAGAGGATGGAACTGAAGTTTAGGCAGGCAAGGAATTTAATGTGAACCTAGGACCATGTCTCAAGCACTGAATCAAACCTAGTCAATCCATTGACTCGAAGTCCCTGAGTCCTTCAAACACACTACCTCTGCACTTTCATAAAAGTCAAACAGAAGAGCATTTCCCCAAGAGCAAACTTCCCTTTGATGTCCTTGCTAGAGGCTTCGCAGGGGGCAACAGAGCTCCAATTGCAATCTCTGCTTTGAGTTGGAATCACTGAACGTAGGCTGGTGATGGCCTTTTTAATGCTTTCCACAGGAATCTCCTGCCATGTCCACTTTACATTTAGAAAGTGTGAGCCCCCATCTTCAGAATGAATGCACAGGAGAAAATCCTCTTGTTCTCCTCTTCTCTAAGATTCACACCTCAGTGCTCTTTCCTTCCACCCCACCCACCCTCCCATTTATCTCTTGAGCACCATCCCATTTCCTTTAGCCCTGAGATACTTCCTGAGGGCATCTAACTCTTCATTGCAGGTGAAGATTGCTCATGAAACTGTAAATCTATTATGTATAAGTTGCTATTCCTTTTAAATCTGTGATAAAGTTGCCATGTAAATTTCCTTGTCCCATTTTCTCCACTCCCAACCCCCTTGCCCTAGCAATGACTACCGTTTGAAACAAACATGTATGTATGCATACATATATGTGTGTGTGTGTGTGTGTGTGTGTGCATGTATATGGACATATTTGAATGTAAAATCATTCTATGCATACTTTTATGTATCAGTTATTTTTCTGGATGCAGCTAGCTTCTTCCTTCATATGTCCTGTGTATAAAAATTGGGTATTTATCATAGCTCAAAATGAGTTAGTTACTTTAAATTGTTCTTAAAACAATATTGCTGCTACTGTACACCACATTCTCTTGGTTCTGCACATTTTGCTCTGCAGCACCATGGGCAGCTCCATCCATGTCTTTCAAAAATCAGTGAGCTCATCATTTCTCCTAGCACAGTAGTATTCCATCAGTTACATAGCACAACTTGGTCAGCCATTCCCCAATTGACGGGCATGCCAGCTTGCTCCAGATGTTGGTGTCATGAATGCTTCAGGCAAGAGTGGAGGTGGACAAAGAAAAGACAACGGCACCTGAGCAGCAGCGGGTGCAAAGAGAAAGGCTGTCAGGGCACAGTGGACGGAATTCCTTCTCCTCTCCCTTCATAGAGGCTTATCTTCCTTTCAGCTCCTTCAATACTCTGGGATGGACTTTCCTTCAAGCACTGAAATAACTACTCCAGAAAGTTTGAAAGGGAAATTCAGCTGGATTGTTATCTAGATCTCCAGAGAGAATTGAGCAAGGTGTGAAGGAAGGGAAAATAGAAGAACAAAGAAGCAAAAAAGAAAGATGCAGAAAATATAAGAGGAAGGAAGAAGGAAGAAAAGAAGGGCAGGACTGAAGGGAGAAATTAGATAGGAAGTACTAAGCACTTACTATATAGGGGCTGGTGTTATCTCTGTGCTATGCCCTCTTCAGTATTATCTCATTTGATCCTCAAAGCCCCTTAGATGCTGCAATGACTCCCCATTTTAGAAATGGGGAAACTGAGGTAGACAGCAGTTAAGAGACCAGTCCTGGATCACCAGCTCTAAAGCATCTGAGACCCTGAATAGTATTCTTTCTTCTTGGGAAGCACTGAAATCTCAGCAAATTTGGGGCTTCCCTTCTGCAAGCCAGGGGCACTGGCGTATCTGAATTGGGTCAATAATACCTTCTAAGTTTCAACCTCTGCTTCAGGACACTCTTCCCTTGGTTCCCAATCTCAGTCTCACATTCTAGCAAGTAGAACTGGTCCAGGTGCAGTGCCCATACCTCTTTAGAATATTATTGGAAACATACAGGCAAAATGTTGAACCATGCTCCCTACAAAGATAGGAATGTTCTTGAGCAGTTAGGTGGTGCAGCGGATAAAACTCCAGCCTTAGAGTCAGGAGGACCTGAGTTCAAATCTGGCCTCAGGCACTTGATACTTACTAGCTGTGTGACCCTGAGCAAGTCACTTAACCCCAATTGTCTCACCAAATTAAGAAAAAAAAGACCAAAGATAGTCGAATTCTTGGAAATAAATTTTATTAAAGTGTCACTTTTGTCCATCACCAGAACTTCAACCACTATTCCCCCACTCCTCCCTCCTTCTCTCCCGACAGCCAGCTCAGGTAACAAATGATTTTGATCAAAAGCATGAAAGGGGAAGAGAAAAGTGAGTAAAACTGATGGACATATCAACAAGATCTGCAAAATAGCATGACCAAGAACCTTCCCACTCTGCAAAGTGAAAGGATCTGGGTGTCTTCTGTTATCTCTTCTTTAGGGGATGGACTTTTCTGTATAAATTTGCATACATGGGCATTTCTTGGTTTTGTTGTTTGGTGGGATGGAAGAGGTTCTTGGGATTTCCTTGACTTTTTCATGGCCTTAAACCTTGCCTCAAGATAGGACAGGGAAGGCAGGTGTGGTGATCCTTGCTTCCCTGGTGTGATGGGCTTCTCTTCCATTCAGCCCCCAACTAGGGAAGAAGGAAAGGTGGAGAGAAAGAAGGAGTGAATCTGAGGAAAGCCCTACATGCTATGTCCAAAATGACTTCACTGTTGTCTCTACTGGTCACTGGCAGCCTCTAGAATCTGAGTGCATGTTGGCTGCCTGGGGTTTCCTCCAGACATTGCAACATGGCAGCAAGTGTCCCCCAGCTCAACTCACAAAGGCAAAAGTCAGGCAAGGAACTGCAGCTGGAACACAGCTCTAACTCCACGCATCCAGCAAAGCGAATCCCTCTTCTTCCATATCCATGTCCACATCAGGTTGGAGCTTGGGACACAGAAGGGCATCTTCCAAATCTTCCAATTGTCCTGGCACAAACTGGGGGGACATGAGGCCTCCTTCATCAGAACTCGTGTCCTGTCCACTGCTCTCTGGGAGACCCGACACTGACATGGTGACCCCTTCATGAAAAACAGAGCCTGAAAATAATGCTTCACGATCTTTCCATTGACATCTTGCTTCACACTCGTGGTACACTTCTAGCTCCTTTGCTTTCATTTCTACAGCCTTTCCTCTTCTCTCTGTGGCTTTTCTGTGGCTGAGTTCCCACTTAGTTTGCATATTGCAAAGGTGACAGCAAGCTGTGCACATTCCTTGTTCTTGCAGTTTGACTGTGAAAGAGAAAAAGTGGAGGATGGATCAGGTGAGGGGAGGGTGCACTCAAACAATCTCAACGAAGGAACAAAACCACAGGGTGAAAATCTATTAACACTTTTGACTAACATCCAAAATTGTAAAATTTATCCATTTTTAACCCTCCTAAAAGATTCCATCTCCCCATCAAGAAATTTCCCCAACATTTTGAGCCCTCCTCAAGCCTCTCCCAACAGCCCTCCTCAATACTCACCATAGCCTTTGCTGTAGACATCATTGGTGTGATCATCCTGGCTGTGATAGTCACTGTCATCATGCCTGCTGCCATGCTTGTCATTGCTGTCATCAGAATGGCCACCCTCACTGTCCTCACTGCTGTGGTCTTCGCTGTCATCAGTGTGGTAGGCAGGTGGAAGGTCAGGACACAGGAGGGCATCTTCCAAATCTTCCAAATGTCCGGCGATAAACTGAGGTGGCGAAGTCAGCAAAGGAAGCCCAAGGAATTCGTCATCAGAGTTCAGTTCACTTCCACCCTGCTCTGGATGACTTGAAACCCGCATGATGGCACCTATGACCCAAATGACATGGAAAATATCAGGGTGAAAAGGAAATGCAATATTATTATATTGAATTGCTTTCTCTTTTGTAAGCATGTACCAGTCCTTGTACAACTCTGTATTTGATTCCTTATCTCACTCCCATAGCAGCTAGCCTAACCATTTGCATCCTTCCCCCTGGCCTTTCTGAGCTTGTACTCTGTTTCCTCAGCTCAAGGCCAGCATCCTTGTGAAGCTGGATGACATTGAAGCCATTGGATGAAGGTCCGTCTGCCCATCTTCTTCCTTTGAAGTCAATTAGATGTCTTCCCCCACCTCTCTTCCCTGAAGTCTAACCTTCTCCCTGCCAAGACAAAGCCCTCTGCAGGCATCTTTGATCCCAACTCTTCCCTCCTTCCCCAGCAGATTATGCATGCTATCATCTCTACTGTCTCTAATCTTTATCCTCTCCCAACCCACTGCCTCCTAACCTTCTTTCTACAATCAGGCCCATCACACTTTCCTCATCCTTAAAAATTTCTCATAGAAGCCAGCTCTGGAGCTCCCCCTTGGATTCATCGTGAAAACCCTTCCTAACTTCCCCAGATACTCCACACCTCCTTAGCAGGGGATCCACTTAGAGACAGTGCTCCCCTTGAATGGCCCTGGTCTCCTGTTATCATCCCACTCAGCTCCTGGCCTACTAACTGCCAGGTTCTAGGTTGCTGATGCTCAGCAACTGTCAGAGAGTGAGGCTATTGCAGGCAGGAAATGCCCTATTCTGACAGAGGATAGAACTGAAGTTGAGGCAGGCAAGTAATTTGACGTTGGTCGGGGACCTAGGAGCACTGAGTGAAACCCAGTCAATCTATTGACTCCAAGTCCCCTAAGCTAGCTATCTCTTCTCAGTCTCTTGAGCAGAAGACCTCTCCATTTGCATAGAAGTCAAAGAAACAGGTATCTCCCCAGGAGCAAACTTACCTGTGATGTCCTTACTGGAGGCTTCTCAGAGAGGAAAAGAGCTCCAATTGCAATCTCTGCTCTGAGAAGGAATGCTGAAAATGGACTGGTGCTGGCCTTTTATATGCTTCCCCCAGGGATCTCCTGCCACATCCAAGTTGCCTTTCAAAAGTGTGAATCCCCATCCCCAGTATAAGTGTCACTGGGGAGAAAAACCCTCTTGTTCCATCCACTTCTCCAAGATTCACACCTCAGTGCTCTCTTCCCTTCTGCCCCACCCCCACCTACTTATCTTTGAAGCACCAAGGAATTTCCTTCAGCCAGGAAGCAGTTCCTAAGGGTATCCTCAGAAACAATTAATCTTTATCCATTAGTATTATGAGTGTCCTACACACTTACCAAGTGTCTAGGACTTAGTCAATGGAAGGCTCCTGTCTTCTCGTGGTGTAGAGAGTTTTCATACCAAGTGTTCACTCAGATATTTGCAGGTCTGACAGCAGCATCCCAATATATCTGGGGAATGCAGCCAAGGCTCAAGCTTCACTTTTCTGATCTGTGGACTAGACAATTGCTAGTTGCTCTATGGAGAGAGTCAAATCATCCTCTGTCACCCTAGTCCCTGGAGCCCATAAGTATCATGTTCCATGCAGTGCAGCCATGGCACCAAGAAACATTTTAGTTGGGAGACAGAAAGAAAGAAAGAGGCTTCCTTAGGCTCAGAGACAATTCTTGAAAGTTTTGCAAATGGAGTTAGCTGAGATTCTAGGAGAAAGCACAGAATTCAGTCTGAGGGAGTGAATCCCCTTGAAGCCTAGGCAGCTTTGTCAACAGCCAGAATGAACTGACTGAGCCTAAGGGTGTGCCTTATGATAGGCTCTTTGACTATCCTTGTGTTCCAGATTGGGGAAAAGGTCATAAAATACAGCATGAAATGAAAGCCATTAACTTCATTTCTGTGAAAGGTAGAAGCCTGGACATGATGATCTGTTAAAAATCATAATTCTGACACTGAGTGATAACAGTTACTGTGACTAGTGAAAGCCATAATATGGACATAGTAAACAGTTCATAACCCATATATGATCAATAAACAAGCTTTTGTTTGGGTAAATACCCATCAACATTTGCTCAATGCCCTAGCTCGGAAATGAGCTCATTACCAAATAGAAACCCTGAATATCCCTCAATCATCAATGACATATTCTATAACCCCTCTTTCTTTTGTCTGATTTCTGTAATTATACCTGGGCTTTCCTGGGTTCTCTAAGTGGGGATAGATCTGCTATTGAGACTGTTTGTCTGGTAGCCACTCCAGACTGCCTCCTTTTGTTTAAGTAATTCTTTTGATTAAACTGGTATTTCTTGTAATAAATCTGGACTTCTCAGTCTCTTTCTCCAGTTTCAAATTAGCTTCTATGATTGGGGAATCCAAGAATATCCCAGTGCACAGGGATTTTTTTTAAACTTTAGTAAGATACAGAGGTCCCCAGCCAGGAGAATACTGTACTCTACAATTAGTGTAGTTGAGTGGATACCAAAGAAATGCCCAAGAGAGTAGGGAATAGACCAGGGGGAATTCCTGGATGGTCTATGACCTCTATGTGGAGGGGGGCTGGCCAGGGTTGGACATCTGCAAGCCACTGAGTGAGTATGGGAATACCCCAAATATGCCAAAAGACCTTAGAGTCCCTTCTGATGTAATTATGTCCCATCAGGTTTGGGAAGGAAGGAAAGAGGGTAGTGGCAGATGTGGGCTGGCCTTTTCTCACAGTGTTGAGGGAAGCCACTATAAACGTCTTAGACTCAGAAGTAAGAAGGTGAGATTAGGAGACTGCAGGAGGAAGTACAGTTAGAAATTAACATGTGAAAAGCAACTCCTCTCATTGCTGAACATTTAGGTGATACAGTAGAGAAAAGGGAGAAGTATGTAGAAAAATTGGCTTGCTGGATGGCCAGGCTGAAGGTAATTAAGAATGTAGACAAAAAGGTGATAAGGTATATGATTGTGAGAGAGGAGGGGGACCCCAAGACATGGACTCCCAAAGAAGAGCAGGAATGAAGGATGGTATAGAGCAAAGAGAGAGCTTCTTTCTCCTTTTCTCCCTCCTTCCCTGGCTGATGGCAGCAGCCTCGGTAGGTTGAATGGAGTGAGGAAGAAAAAGAAAATATACTCAGAGAAGTGAAAATTATTTAAGATATGATTGGTATAAGCAAATAGGAGAAACCAAGAGAAGTGTTGGAGAAGATTTGGGAAAATCGGAACATTAATGCATTGTTGGTAGAGTTGTGAACTGATCCAACCATTTTGGAGAGCAATTTGAAACTATGCCTAAAGGGCTATAAAAATGTGCATACACTTTGACCCAGAAATAGCACTTCTAGGGCTGTATCCCAAAGACATCATACAAATGGGAAAAATGAGCCACATGTACAAAAATATTTATAGCAGCTCTTTCTGTGGTGGCAAAGAATTGGAAATTGAGGCCCATCAATTGGGGAATGGCTGAACAAGTTGTTGTATATGAAGGTAATGGAATACTATTGTGCTATGAGAAATGATGAGCAAGAGGACTTCAGAAAAACCTGGAAAAATTTGTATGGACTGATGCTGAGTGATGTGAGCAGAACCAGGAGAACATTGTATACAGTAACAGCCACATTGTACAATGACTAACTTTGATAGACTTAGCCCTTCTCAGCAATACAAGTATCTAAGACATCTCCAAAAGTCTCATGATGGAAAATGTTATCCACATCCAGAGAAAGAACAATGGAGTCTGAATGCAGATTAAATCATATTTGCTTTCTCTATTTTTTTCTTTTTTGTTTGCTTTTTCTTCCTCATGGTTTCACCTATTGGTTCTAATTTTTCTTTACAACATGACTAATGTGAAAATACATTTAATAGGAATGTATATGTAGAGCCTATATCAGATTGCATGCCATTTTCAGGAGAGAGGTGGTGAGGGAGGGGGAGAAAATTTAAAACTCAAAAGTTTATGGAAGTGAATGTTGAAAACTAAAAGTAAATTAAATTAAAACACAAATGTAGACAAAAGATAATAAAATGATTATGAAAGAGGAGGAGGAATAGAGGATGTTAGAGAGGAAAGGAACAGCCCTTCTTTCCTGGCTGACTACAGCAGCCTGAGTGGGTGGATGGGAGAGAGAGAAGAAGAAAATATACTCAGAGAAGTGAAGATTATTCAAGATATGATTGGTATAAGCATGTAGGACAAAGCAAGAGAATTGTTGGATACTGAAAAAAAACAAAAAATTTTGCTGTTAAATTTCTGTTTGTTTATTAATGTGAACCACTGTAAGTTTTCAAACAGATTCTTTCCCTTCCTCTACCTTCTTGAACTGTGGCCAGGTTCTGGGGTGTAGAAGGACAGATGAGGGGAAAAAAAGAGGGAGTGGGAATCTTTTCCCCTCAGACTTCAGATCAGAGTAGGAAAGAAATAAGAGGTGTGCAGTTTAGCCAAAGTCCACTAGAAAGATATGTATATAAAAGGAAAAGTGAGAAAGTTTAAGCATGTAGGAATGAAAGGAACATGGGCAGAAAGTCATGATCTGTTTTCACTGACAATGTGAACAGAGGATCGGAGAGCTTAGAAACTTTTGGGAAAATGGAAAAAGAATTACTGACACTTTAAAGCTCCAGCAGTAAATAGCCTGCATTTGCATGATTATCCAGAGGCAGGTTTGGGGGCTATGTCAAGTGAAATTTTCAAGGTGAAGAACACTTTAGAATAGAACTCATACTTAACCTTGTCCTGGATCACAAAAAGAGAGAATATTTGCTTGAATCCAGAAAGTAAGAATTAGAGCTAGGAGTAAGCCTTTCGCCTTCACTTTCAAAGGAAGTATCAAGAAGGCAGTAATTATCAACAATTTCAAATACTGAACAGTGCTTAACAAAGTCGAGGAATTAGAAGTGATGATTTAACAGTGATGATATCATTGGATTTATCCTTGAAGAGAAAATTTCAGTAGAATATTGGGGATGGAAGGATGCTAGGAGTGTATGCGTGACAAGAAAATGGGAAAAGTGAAGCTAGACATTTTTATGTATACGTATAGGTGTGTACGTATGTGTGTGTATGTATGTACAAATATTGTATATTATAATGTATATATTCTCCCAACAACTGCAAAAAGACAGGGTTCAATGCATCAGGACCAATGGTTCTTGGAAGGAAAGGCTGGAGATGGGTTTGCTGCTCAGTAATGACATTTATTGATCTTAGAAAGTATCCAATCGGCTTCTGCACTCAGATTCCTCCCCCTTTTTCCTGACTATCCTGAGACAAAATCTCCTCATGCTGAATCCTCACATTGAAATTTCCCTTCCAGCAAAACAATCTGTGGGCCTCTTCTGCATCACTAGTTTTGGTATCACAATGACTTGCTGCTTATGAATGACACAAATATCTGCTGGTACCTAACCTTAAAGAGGGGGTGATGAGTCTGTCATTAAATTCTATTTGAACTCAGGCAAATTTGTAACTTGAACTAAGTTGTAGCATCTAATACTTTGGGAAACTCATTTTTCAACCATCTTAGTGTCACACACTTGTGCTATAATAGCACAATCATCTCTTGATTAGTTTAATCAGACTGGATTTACATAGCCAAAAGGAATTTAATGCAACATGAGGAAATATCAGGCAGAGGTAAGCCACCAAATTTCTCTGAATTTTCTTGGCCATTTCCCATGAGCTTACTTTGTTACTTCAAAT